AGGGACTTTGTAAACTTATTAACTCTAATATGTTGGGTATATTATTTTACATTTTCTGTGTATGCAAATGTGTCATATGCAAATAGTTGCTGTCTAGTTTGTTCCTTTCTGTTGATAACATTTTTTACTCTCGTCTGCTGCGCTAAATATAAATTGCTGTAAACTTTACTCTTGATTCATTTATAAATTACAAAAAATATTATATAATTATTTTATTATTGATTAAATTTATTTTATCAGTTAAAATATTGATATTAATACTAGTATCACATAAGAATAATAACTTTCATGATTTCTCTAATAGGAAAGAGCTTTTTATTTCTAGTTTGTTACTAAGATTCATTTCAGCATTTGTTGAATTTTATTTTCAACATCTTTTTAGATTATCAACTTTGAATTTATTTACTTTACTTTTTCTATTAATTCTTAGCTTACACTATTATTTCAAATGTTAAACCAATCCTTAATTACATAAATAAGCCCAATTCAGCGTGATTATAATTTTTGTAATGTAACACCGCATTAAATTTGTTATTTGTAGAGCATATATTTTTCTGAGAAAGCTTGACCACTTTGTTTTCTTTTCTTAGTCACATTTTTGTACCAAATGTATGTTCGCCTAAAAAAAATGCGTTCAAACATATCCCATCTTTTAAAAATATCTTAAATATTTTTCTACCATAATTTTCACTCCTAATAATTTTAGAAAAACTCACAGTAAAATATTGTAGCTCTAGATATTTCTTTGTCAAAATATTTATATTTACAAATTTATTTTTGAAATAGATACAGGACATTTTATTTTTTAGTTTTTTTGGTCAATTGCCACAGTTTTTCTTATGAATAGGTCTATTTCATCTGAATAAAATTTTATTATCAGAGAGATTCTCATAATATGCTCCCATAATTAATGGCTTTAAAGTCTACAGTGATGTTTCTTATTTTCACACCTATATGTCTGCCTTTTGAAATTTGAAGTTTTTGTCTTCTCTCTTTGATTCTTAATTATCTTTACTTGGAGTCCACATTTTCATTAGCCATTTTCAAAGATCTTTATTTGGTTTTTGTTTGTTTGTTCGTTTTATGGAATCTATTGTAATTTGTTTTTAATTACTGTATCTTCCCTTGTTTTTTCCTTCTATTGGATTTGAGGTCTTTTTTTTAATGGTCTAGCTTCTTGAGTTAGAAGCTCAAATCAGTGGTTTATTTTCAGTTTTTCTTTTTTTTCTTATATATTTACTTAAGGCTCATTATTTTCCATTAAGCATAACATTAACATCATCCCACAAATTTGATATATCATTTTAAAATTACAGTCAAAACACTTCCTAATTTATATTGTGGTTATTTTCCTGTAAAAGTTGTTTTAAATTGCAGACTCATCTTTAAAATAGCAAATATTACATTATTTTTTATTTATTCTTTTTAAGTATTGTTTTCTGACTTAATTCCACTCTAATCATTGAATACATTTTAAATTATTTTAGCCCTTTACAACTTGTTTGGACTTGCTTTGTGTCCTAGCATACTGTCTATATTGATAAACAGTTGATACAAATTTCAAAAGAATGTGTAGTCTGTCATTATTTGGTCTAGTATATTATGTCGATCAGTTAATTGTTATTCAAATGATCAATATTCATAAGGATTTACTTCGTTTGCTTAGTCTATTAAGTATTTAAAGGGATTGCTAGTCTTCCATTCCACTGTGACTGTGAATTCTGTAGTTTTGTCTTTTAGCTTTATCAATTGTTCCTTTACATATTTGATGCTATGTAATTAGAGACACACACATTTAGAATTTTTGTATCTTTCTGGAAAAATGACCTTTATATTATTATGAGACAGATATCTTTCTTTGTAGTATTGGCTCTTGCCTTAAGTCTATTTTGTCTGACACTGATGTATGTGTACCAGTTCTTAAAGGTTACTGTTTGTGTGTTAATGCTTTTTTATTATCTTCTCATTTCTTATGAGAGGCACTGAAAAGGATGTCCTTTGTAGGTAATATTTTTTCTTTGATGATTTTTATTTTACTCTGACAGTTTTAATTTTAATTGTATTATTGGGTTTACTAATATATACTACAACGTTTACTATATTTGTCTTTATATATCTACCTTACAAAACTTATTTTAAATTTTCTACCTGTTTTACTTGAATTTTCTTTTATTATCACCTTTGTTTGTGCTCTTTTGCTGTTGAATATTTATGCTATCACAGCCTTGAACCTTGATTTCACACATTCTATTTTTTATGTGTAGAACTTGCTGGGATTTTATCTCAGTGCTATGTGATCCTATTTCCTGTGATACTGTTACTCTACTCTTTAATACTATTATATTCCCTGCATTCATTATCTTTTTTTTGTCATTTCTTCCCGATTTTCCATGTTTCTTCCCAAGATCGTTTTCCTTTACTGGAAGAACTCACTTCAGTATTACTTTTGTATGGACACATCTTTTTTCTCTAGGTCCTTTTTTTTCTCTTAATAATTGTGTTATAGAAATTTTATTTTGATGTTCCTATACACACATCCATAGGTTTTATTTTTACTTATTCCACCTCTTCGTATTGGCCCAATGTCACACATCAGTTTTGGAAGAGTCTCAGCCATTATCTCATCTAAATTTACTTGTACCTCATTCTCTTTCTGTTCTTCTGGGACACAAGGTAAACAAGACTTTTCAGATGTGTTTCTCATGCTCTATTCTGTTGTCTGAATTCTTTTATAATGTCCATGAATCCACTTGCCTGTTTTCTATACCCCGTCATTCCCTTAACCAATTTTCTTTCCTATTGTGTCCTGTCTTCTGTTAAACCCACCTATTTAATTGTAAATTAGTATCATGATATTTTTAATTCTAGATCTCCTATATCATTTTTCAAGGATTCTCTTTCTCCAGTGAGTTATCTTTTTCTCTCTTTCCTCACACATATTAACCACAGTTAATTCAAAGTCAGTGCCTGAAATCCATAATTCCTCAAATACCTCTGGATCCGTTTCTGTTGTTTGCTTTTCAACCCGATCATTGGTGTGTTTGCACGTGTATGTGTGTACAACTGATGCACAACACTAGATAGAAAAAATATAGTGTATCTGGATACTATTAATTCTCTATAAACTTTAGCCATATCCTCTACCAGGCGTATAAAGTGGCACCATGTGACCTAAATTCAGTGACAGCCTTAGCTGACTGTAGCCCAGTGTGTGGTTTCCCAAGACTTCCTCTACTTCCACTTCTCATTCTCTTAGAGTGTAGCTCTCCTGAGTTCCCAGCTTAAAGCCTGGGTCTTATATTCTGATTATGTTATTTGCATGTTTGTTTCTCTTTGACACCATGACACAACCGTGTCTTTTCTTGATCATAATGGGAAGGCCTGTAGTGTTTTCCTTTTAAGTAAAGTGCTTGTTTATTGATTAAGATATATACTTTATCATGTTAATAATGTGTCCATTAAGTACTGTTTTATTGAGTGTAGTTTTATCATGATGTGTACTGAATTTTGGCAAATGCCTTCTCTACATCTTTGTAGTAATCATATAATTTTTCTTTTATACTCTGTTTATATGGCCTTATTTATGGCCGTATTTATGGCCTTTCTACCATTGAACCACACTTGCATTACTGAAATTAACTATAGTTGTTTATCTTGTATTGTTTTTTATGTGCTATTAGATTCTATTTGCTGGTGTTATATTTAGAAATTTTGCATTAATATTTATAACTAAAATATATTTGTAATTTAGCAATTTTGTGCAATGTATAAAATGAATGTTACATTCATAGTATAAATCAAATTTAGAGGTTGTTCTTTTTCAATGCTCTGAAACAATTTATGAACCATTTAAATTACCTGATCTTTAAAAACTTGGTAAAGTTCCTAGATGATGTAAATTGGGATTGTTGCTTTTTGGAAAGGGACTCTTTAACTACTTTCTGTATTTCCTCTAGGATAATTATTCTGCTTATATTTTCTATATATTGAGTTTAGTTTTGATAAGCTTTCAAAAAAATTATTTATTTAAGGTAGATTTTATTTTTTCTTTGGAGAGTGTGACAGGATTTATGAGTAAACCAGATTTAGCATTTATTCACTACTTCTCTTTTAGTGCCTATCAGTTTTCTAACTCATTTATTTCTATCTTTATCAATATTTCCATCATCTTTATTTTTATTTATTTTATCATTTTTTTCTAGGTTTTAGAAACCGTTAATTTATTTAATTTTGTCTCATTTTTATTGATATAGTTATTTAATACTATACTATAATTTTTTACTCATAAAAATTTTTTACTCACTAAAACTAACTGTTTTAGACGTATACCACAAAATCTTTTGTAACCTATTTTTATCAACCTTATTTTCAACTCCACAGTCACTTTATATTTACCCTTTGAGTCAGTGTTAATTTTTTTTATTACATTGTTTCAATATGAAAAGGCATTTTCTTCTGATTTTTTTGAAATTAATTTCTAGATTTTAAAATTATAATCAGAGAATGCTATTTTTATTATTTCTATATTTTGGAATTTATTGAGGTTTTTCTTTTGAGAAATCACTTAAATTGTATTTTCTTGAAAAAATATTATTCAGCTATTCATTTAGATGAATGTTCCACATGCACATTAAGTAAAGGTACAATGGCAAAGACTGCAATGACTTTTGCATCAACCTAATCTATTGTCTGGTTTTGGCAATCATAGTATATCTTTAATTGCATGACAGACATTTCTCTAAAAGAAGACAGAAACTGAAGTAAGTAACATTTACCTCCAGAATGGGGCACATAGCTTTTAGTGCCATGGCCACAAAACAGAAGCCAAATGGATTTCATTTCTCATGGAGCTAGGTCTGACTGACTTGTGCTGCAGATTTGGTTGATTTCATTAAAATAAGTTGAGGGGTGAATCAGGACCTTCCTCGTAACTGGGACGAGAATCTGAAAGCTGGTTGGCAAAGGCACCTGTGCTTCATTAATGATATTGTGCTACCTAGGATTGCTCTGGATCTTGCTGTTCTCTCCATGAAGAGTTCCAGTAGCTCTCCATGCCCGTCTTGTTTGCTCTTTCAATCTTGAAGTGTTGCCTCACCCCTGGACCTTCTGAGGATAACAGCCCGAGCTTCTGTGACAATCTGGATGTCTCCCAGCTCTTATTTGCTGAACTTTCAAAGTGGGAGGAAAAGAGGATCTCAGTCTTTGAGCCCTACTTTAAGCATCAACTCCTAAGGACATCGAATAGATTTCATGTAGATCTGCTGTGTTTGCAGACTGTGGATATTTTGAACTCACTGCATGCCCTGTATATCACTAGGTGCTCTTTCTCGACTGTCTTGTGGTCATTAATATTTCAGTAGAAGAGAGCCTCATTTCTCCCTCCCCTGTCTATGGAAGATTCCTCCTTTTGCAATTGCAGCAGGGATGGAAGCAAAATTAATTTACTTTCTCTGGTGAAGGACTTCTCACTTTTTTGAAATTTAGTTCACTAGGCATCTTCACGTGCACAGCTCTAAAATTATCCAGTTTATTTTGGTTGTTATGGTGAGAATGACTGTCTCTTTTTACTTCCTAGATCTAAACTGGGTTCCCCTTGTTTTGTTTTTGTTTTAATTTTTAACCATTCCATTTTATTTTTCTCACTCTTATATATTTCCTTAAGCTTTTATATGTGATCATGTTTTATTACTGTACTCTCTTTTCCAATTTTAGTGTTATTTCTCAAATAATTAAAAAAATGTAATCCATTCCTAAATTTTATCAACTACCTTTGTAAATCTTTTTTTATTCTAATCACATAATTTCTGAGCTTTTCTAATTTTGATTTATCCTATAAATTATTTTAATTTTTTCTTTTTCACTTGAAATATTAGAGTATCATCTTTGTTGTGGGTGTTTACATTGGGCATAACTTCGTAGTCTGGAGAAGTATTATTATTCTGAATTATTTTTGCCTTTTAATGTTGCATAAGATTTAAATGCAAAAATTATTACACAGAGCTTAAGCGTTATCATTTTGTGCTGTCATGTATAAGTGGGATTAGTTTTCTTTCTTCTTAGACAGATAGAGAGGTCAGGGTAGATTATCTTACTTCATAGCTCTAGAGTTCTCTCATCTACTGATTTTGAGAAGTGTTAAAAAAAAAACACATTTCTTAGACATTTCAAAACCTTGTGTCTGTTTTCCTCTACTTTTCCATCTGGATTTTATCTTTTCTTTATTGTCTCTGTCCTACTAAAATGGAATTATACTCCCAGGAGTCTTTTTTTTTTAACTCAATCTGTGGCTTTACCCTGAAATGAAATAACCATTATCTGGTTTCAAAATCTATAGGGCTCATATTATCTCACATTATAAGCCTATACCATGGCCCTTCACAATTTCTTCTTTATTGTTGCTATTTTTGTTATTTATATTTAAATTGTACAACATGATATTTTGATAGACATAAGAAAATGATTACTGTAGTAAAGCAGTTAACATTTCCATCTTTCTACATATTTACCTCCCAATGTTTCATACTAAGAGTACCTAAAATCTGTTCCCTTTCCTGTATACAATATGTTATTTCTTATATACAATATATTATTAACTCTTCTCTTTATGCTAGACATTATTTCTCTAGATGTATTCATCCTACACAACTGTAACTATGTACACTTTAACCTATTCATTCCCTGACTTCTCACTATTAACCACCATTCTATACCCTGTTTCTATATATTTAACTATTTTTTTTTAGATTTCATATTTGAGAGAGGTTGTACAGCATTTTTTTTCTTTCTGTGTCTGGCTCATTCACTTAACATAATGTCCTCTGAGTTCATCCATATTGTCACAAGTAGTAGAATTTCCCTTTTTAAGGCTGAATAATATCTCATTATATGTCTATGTATGTGTGTGTATATATGTAATCACCATAATTTGTCCATTCATCACACCATAGACACATAGATTGTTTCTATGTATTGACTATTAGAAATGATGCTGCAAGGGACTTGGGAGTACATATATCCCTTTAAGGTGCAGATTTTATTTTCTTTGAGTTATACCCAAAAGAGAGACTGTTTGATCTTGCAATAGTTTTATTATTAATTTTTTGAGAACCTCCATACTGTTTTTAATAATGGTTGCACCTATTTACATTTCCATCAGCTGTTTACAAGGACTTTCTTTTCTCCACATCCTCATCAACACTCTAATCACTTGTCTTTATGATAAGTCATCCTAATATGTGTGAGGTGGTACCTCATTGTGGATTTTATTTTCAAGCTATGCAAATTAATCAATGCGATACACAACACTAACAGAATGAAAGGTAGAAACCACATGTTCATTTTAATACATACAGAAACAGTACTGGACAAATTAACATGCTTTTTTGATTAAAGACTCTCAACAATTTATGTATAGAAGGAAATTCCCTCAACATAATAAAGGCCACTTATGAAAGATCACAACTAACAGTATAATCAATGGGGAAAAAAACCTGAAAGCTTTTCCACTAAGACCGGGTACTAGACAAGGATGTCTACTCTTGCCCATTCTAGTCAACATAGTTCCTAAGTACTAACAAGTGCAAGCAGACAATAACATAAAAGCACTTAAATCAGGAAAATGTAAAATTATTTCTATTTGCAGATGATATGATCCTATATGCAGAAAATCCTAAAGACTTTATACACACAATAAAACTCTGTTAGAACTAGTAAATAAATTCATTACAGCTGTAGAATATTAAATCAATGTACAAACGTAAGTTGACTTACTTTACAACAATAATTATCTCTTTGGAAAATAAATCAAGAAAACAATCTCATTTACAAGATCATTAAGAAGAATAAATTATTTAGGAATAAAATTAACCAGGAAAGCTCTATACACTGAAAATTTTAAATTATTGATGAAATTGAAGAAGACACAAATAAATGGAAGCATTTAGAATTCATGGATTAGAAGAATTAGTATCATTTAAATGTCCATATTACCCAAAGCAGATTCAATTCAATTTCTATGAAAATTCAAATGACATTCTTCACACAAATAGAAAAAAAAAAATCTAAAATATATATAGAAGCACAAAAGAACCCCAGTAGCCAAAGCAATCTTGAGAAAGAAAACAAAGTTGGAGGCGTCACACTTCCTTACTTCAAATTACATTACAAAGCTGTAATAATCAAAACAGGATGGTGCTAGAATAAAAATAGAAACATAGACTAATGGAGCAGAATATAGAGCCCAGAAATAATTTCAAATAAATGCAGCCAACTAATTTTTGACAAGGGCACCAAAAATAAACAATGGAAAAACTATAGTCTCTTTAATAAGTTGTTTGGAAAAAGTGAATATCCACATGTAAAAAAAAATGGAACTGGGCCATTGTCATATTTAAAACACTAAAAAATCAACTGAAAGCAGATTAAAGACCTAAATGTAAGACCTTATCTCATGAAGCTGTTAGAAGTAAACATAGGCAAATAGCTTCTGGACATTGACCTTGGCAAGGATTTTTTTAATATCACACCAAAAGATCAAGCAACATAAGCAAAAATTAAGAAGTGGAATTTCATCAAACTAAAACATTTCCACACAACAAAAGAAATTAATAAAATTAAAATACAGCCTACAGATTGAAAGAAATTATTTATGAACCATATATCTGTGAAATGGTTAAAATTAAAATAATCTGCCTGCTGCTGTCACCACTGCCAGTACACACAGACATCTTTTGGGGGTCTGGCAATTGACCCTTTCCGCCTGACCCTGCTGGCATACACTTACATGCCTTTTGGGGACCTAAGGGTGGGCCAGTCCCAATCACTGCCACTGCTGGTGCAAACTGCCCAGGAGTCTAAGTTCATCCTGTCTGGAGCCACCAGTGTAAAATTCACCTGGTGAATTCACTTTCAGACTGAAAGTGAAGAGACTGAAAATATATTCCACACAAATGGAAACCGATAATGTAATTATTTCAGGAAAAAAACAGACTTTAAATCAAAAAAATATAACAAAGACACAAAGAAGGTCATCATATAATGATAAAGGGGGCACCCACCACCAAGCCCGGCTAATTTTTTTGTATTTTTAGCAGAGATGGAGTTTCACCGTGTTAGCCAGGATGGCCTCCATCTCCTGACCCCATGATCCACCTGCCTCGGCCTCCCAAAGTGCTGGGATTACAGGCGTGACCACCGCACCCAGCCACGCCAGGCTAATTTTAAGCTTTTTGTAGAGGCAAGGTCAATTCAACAAAAGAATATAACAATGTGAATAGATATGAAGCCAACATTAAGGCACCCACCTATATAAAGGAAATATTATTAGTGATAAAGACTGAGATAGACCCCTAAACTGTAAAGTTGAGGACCTCAACACTCCACTTTCAGCATCATCTAGATAGAAAATCAGCAAAGAAACATAAAATATCCTGCAATGTAAACCAAATAGACCTAAAAGATATTTACAAAGTATTTTATCTGACAGCTGCAGGATACACATTCTCTTGAGCACATGGAACATTTCTCCAGGCTAGACCACAAGTTAGGCCACAGAAACAAGTCTCAGCAAATTTTTTAAAAATCAGAATCACATGAAATATTTTTTAAAACACAATGGAATAAAACTGGAAACCTTAACAAGAGGGATATTGGAACTCTAAAAATATATGGAAATTAAATGACATACTTCTAAACAACCATGGTTCAACCAAGAAATTAAGAACAAGATGAAAAAATTATTTAAAGAGATGAAAATGGAACCACAACACATACCAAAACCTATGGAATATAGCAAAAACAGTGCTAAGAGGTGAGTTTGTATCAATAAAGGTCTACAGCAAAAAAGTAGAAAGATTTTATATGTAGAAAAATCTGAAGAATCCATCAAAATATCTTAGAACTGATAATAGATTAAGAAAAGTTTCAGGATACAGAATCAACATACAAAAATTGATAGCATTTCTGTACACCAATAACAAATGTATGTGATTATTTTATGCCAGTTAAAGAATAAAATAGAAAAAAATCCCTTAATTGTTATAGAACCACAAAAGACCTTGGAGGGCAATAAATGTAGTAGGCATCACACTGCCAGACTTCAAAATATATTGTAACTCTATAGTAACCCAAATGTTATAGTATTGGTATAGAGACAGACACATAGATCCATGAGCAATATAGAAAACCTGGAAATAAATGCAGATATTTAGAGTCAACTGGTTTTTTTGACAAAGGCACCAAGAACATCTACTGGGGGAAGGACACCCTCTTCAATAAATGGTTCTAGAAAAGCTGAATATCTGTTTACAGTGGAATGACATTAGACTTTGATCTCTCATCATACAAAAAATCAACTCAACGTAAATTAGACTTAAACATAAGACCCAAAACTATAAAATAACTAGAAGAAAACATAGTGGAAACACTTCAGAACATTAATCTTGGTAAAGATTTTATGGCTAAGACTTCAACAGCACAGACAACCAAAAAATATATAGATGTG